CAGCGCCGCCGAAGGAGAGCAGCCCGGCAATCCCGACGCACCGCAGGTCTGTGAAACCGTAAGCTGTTTTCTTGAGCCTTTCTTAACAGGCTTTCTCTTTTCCCCTGGATTGATACCTTTGTCGAGATCTGGACATTATCTGTTGGTCTATACTACTTCCGTATTTACTCCCAAAGGGAACACGCATCTGGCTCTAATGGTTGAGAAGTTCATGTTGTTCTAACTCTCTTCTGCTTGTCCTCCCGTTTTTTTAAAGGAGGCTGCTTCACATATTGTAGGTCTACTGAGGCTGACTGGTTTTTTCCCCTGTTATTCTTTGTCTGATGCAAACATGTGTATTAATCCTGTTTCCAAAATTTCCGTGAAGTGTCCCGTGTTTTGAGAGAATGCTGCTGTAAAAAGGCAGCATTTATGGGACGGATGAATACTTCCCAGTCATGATTTTTCAAAGTTTTTTTTTAACAATTATTTTTCAGTTCAATGAAGAATGCGGATTCTACTCTGCAGAAAGACATGTGCTGATTCTGCGTGACCTAGTTCAATAAAGGGAATGAGTACTTTTGGTTTGTGGGTAGGATGGGGCATGTGTTTGCTTGTTATTTGGGGTTTTTCTTGAGGTGTGTGTATTTTCAACACGAAAGGAGAAACTACATGTTGTTTCTCCCTTCTGGAAGACTGTCGAGTGTATTTGGGGATAAGTTTTCTTCAGGAGCGATAGGCGATGTTGCTTAATTATTCCAGTCATTAGTTTTCTCTGCAGTTCTTTCTGCAGAGCCGCGTGTTCCTGTCTTCTCGTTCCTGCTGTTCCCCTTGAATCTTTCTGAACCGTTGCTCTCTTTTCCTTGGGTTTCCCCGGGTAGTATATGTGGGAATGGCTGGTCCACCTCTCCGAGAAGGGATGAAAGAACGGGGTGATTTCTTCTTCTAAGAACAGGCAATTAGTCATAGCACTTGATTCTGCGGTGACCACAGCTTCCGATTCCTCTAAGAGGTTTTGCCTGCATCTCTTCAGCTGACTAAAATCGTATTAATGAATAACTGCAATGGGGAATCATAAGAGTTCAGGAGATTCGTGGTTCTTCATGAAGGAATCAGGGAAATAATGCAGATACTAGCTGCCGCAGATTTTTCCTTAGTGGTCTATTTATCTTGAAAGTGTATCTTGGGACCTGGTTAAAAGCTGGCCACATACTCCTTGTTTAACACTTTTTCGGTCTTAGACTCCAGAAAGACGTTTGTCATGGATAGAAAAGTGACCAGTTCTCCATCCGGAGTAAAAGAAGAGACTGACCGTCCTCTTTTGCGTTAACACTGTTGCAGCAATGGCAGGANGCAAACTGCGGATCGTCACTGGTGACGAAAAGCAGTACTTCACTCTCGAGGAAGATGATACAAATCTGCGTGTAAATGGCAGGATAGACCGAGAGAGCATCTGCGGAACCGTGTCGCCCTGCATCCTCAGTTTGGAGGCGGTCGTGGAAAACCCTTTCGACATATTTCATGTGAGTGTTACTATCCAGGATATCAATGACAATGCGCCGCAGTTTGACAGAGAATTTGTTACCATAGAAATTATCGAGTCGACGCCTCCTGGGACCAGGTTCCCTCTGGGCAGTGGCAGAGACCCCGACATTGGAGTGAATTCTTTACAAAACTACGAACTTACCCCCAACCCACTCTTCTCCCTCTTAGTGAAGGAGAGCCCTGATGGGACAAAACACGCGGAACTGGTACTGGAGAAAATCTTGGATCGAGAAAAACAAAGAAACCATAATTTGGTACTGACAGCAGTGGATGGTGGGGATCCAGTCCGATCTGGGACCGCCCAGATTAAGATTAACGTGACCGACGCAAATGACAATCCACCAGTATTCACCAAAGAAATCTACATGGTTCGACTGATGGAAAACCTGCCAGAGGGCTCCTTAGCTTTTCAGGTGAAAGCGACTGACAATGACGAAGGTACAAATGCAGAAATTACCTACTCTTTCAGTGACATAGCAAAAAATATCCGCCAGCTCTTCAGTCTGGACCCTAGGACAGGGGAGGTGAAAGTTACAGGACTCTTAGATTATGAAGAAAGGAAATACTATGAAGTGAGCGTTGAAGGCAAGGATGGGGGTGGGTTGACAGCACACACCAAAGTGCACATAGACATTATAGACGTTAACGACCATGCACCAACACTTTCCTTCCTGCCTATCTTGAACCCCATACCCGAAGACTCAGTCCCGAGCACAGTTGTCGCTGTGATCAATGTCAGGGACAGAGATTCCGGAGAAAACGGAGAAGTGAGCTGTAAAATGGACGGAAGTTTGCCTTTCAGATTAGAAGCTTCATCAGAGAACACATACAAACTAATAATAGCCAGTGCCCTGGACAGAGAAAACGTCTCTGCTTACAATATCACCATCACTGCCACTGACCGGGGCAGGCCGCCACTGTCGAGCAGAGCGGAGCTGGTGCTGGAGGTGTCGGACGTGAACGACAACGCGCCGGTGTTCGAGGAGGCGGCGTACAGCGCGTACGTGGCGGAGAACAACGCGGCGG